AAATTCTGGGCAGGCACGTGAATGAGGCAGAAAAAAGCTTGGGGATAGAGGCTTTGATTCAACACGGGATGTCCCTTCTCATTACAAGGAGTGGAAGGTGTGAGAACATACAACTGAAAGGAAATTGTCAAACCTGGGTGGGTGGGGCCAGGAGCTGGGAGGACTCCTTGGTTGGAGGCCTGGCAGAGAAGAGACAATGGACCTGTTGGAATGAGAAGCCTTGGCTTCAAGCCCCACCTTTACCACCGACAGCTGTAGAGTCATGGTCTCAGTTTACCCATCTGTAAAATGCAGCCAGTGCTCAGCACCTCACAGGGGCTGTGAAAGCAGAGGGAGGCTCCCAAGTGTCCTCAGACTAGCAGATCCTTCTGTGGGTGAGTAGGGGCTGGAGGGCCATGATTTTCTCACTGTTGTCCCACCCTGGGGACTCCGTGAGAGGGCAGACTTGGGGACTTGGTGCCATGCATTGTCTCTGCACCGGCCTCCCTGGGGAGAGGCAGAGGAAGGAGGTGCAGCCAGCCGGATACAGTCCTGAGCTGTGTAAAGCAGCAGCTTTGCTATTAATGTAGTCGGTAAATAAATAAAGGAGGGCTGAAGCTTAGTGTACAGCAATCAGTTTAGAACTACAGGGTAATTAGCGCTGCAGGGGGCTGCAGGGCTGCGGAGTCAGGTTTAAATGAGTGAGTTCACTTTCACTGAGGCGCTCCCCCGGGGAGCAGAAAACACAGCCCAGAGAGGAGCCCGCCCTCCTGCCAAGCCACGAGGGGCAGGGGCTGGGGGTAGGGATGGCCAGGCTGGGCCCGGAGCCACAGAGAGCTGGTGGATGGCCGCCCCATCACAGCCCAGCCCAGGACCAGGTCCATGCATGCAGACACACACGCGCATGGGCGCACACACACACAAACACACAGCAATGCCCAGGCAGCTCCCTGCCTGAACTGTGTACTCTTCTGGGCTGGCTGCTTCTCCCTTTGCACATGGCAAACAGTTCAGGCATCTCTAGGAACCGCCATGGGCACATGTAAGGGGAAACAGGGACGCCTCCCCTGAGGCCCCTACGCTGCCGGTGACATGCACGCTCACGGAGGTGCCTGGGCGGCGTGTGATGTGCACCCAAGTTACCCGGTTCCCCCGTCCCTGGCAACTCCGACCTCAACCCCTGATGCTATCTTCCTCCCCTTCCTTCTTTCTCTGTTTATTCAACAAAGATTTATTGGGTGCCTACTGGGTGCCAGGCAGCGTTAGGCTCTGGGAGTATGGAGATAACCCACAATTCCTGTTCCCGAGGAACTTAACCTTGGGTTCATGGTGACAGTTAAGAAAGCGGGTGATTACAGTGCACGACGGCAACAGGACCAGAGGGGCGCTCAGTGCAGCCTCAGTGGCCAGGGAAGCTTTCTTGGAGGAGGTAGGGTTTGAGCTGAGACCTGAAAAATGAGAAGCTGGCACAGAAGGGAGGTGAGTGCGTGCGGCGCCCGTGCAGCTCCCAGAGGAGGAAACCGCGCCCGCAAAGGCCCTCAGAGGGGCGGAGCCCAGGGTCTTCCTGAAACCATCTGCGGTCTGGGCCGCGCGGTGGTGGGTGGCCAGGGAACACGGGGTGATCCTGAGATGAGACTGGGGTGGCTGGCAGGGGCTCTGTCGCAGAAGGTCTTATAAGCCTTGTTAAAGAGTTTGAATTCCATCTGAAGGGTAATGAGGGCCTTCTATCAAAGGAGTGGCATGATTCAGTCAAATGAGTGCCATGCCTCTCTTTTCATTTTGGGGAAACCCCTCTGGCTGCCTGCAAAAGGAAGCAGAGGGTGGAACAGAGGGAGGCAGAGCAGCTGGGGGTCAGTACTCCTGGGGACCCCCCTTCCCGGTAGGGGGGAAGGGGCTCAGAGCAGCCAGCACGGGAGGACTGCCACGCTGAGCCGTGGCCTTGGACTTAGCTGGACATCTCCGTCTCCTCACCTGCCGCAACTTGCTTGAGTCTTTAGCAAGTCTCTGCTGGTTCCACGCCACCTTTGGATGGGTAGGGGGGCCTCAGGCAGCTGGAAGGAGAGCTGTTAATGCTGATACATGTGACCCCAGTGCCCACCAGAACCCCATTAGCCCTGGCCAGGAAGGGACGCTGTGCCTGTATGTGGGGAGGGGTGGGTCCCCACCTAATGTCCTTGGAGACTCGTTCAGGAGGAATGTAGCCACTCCCCCAGCTGCCCGGCCCCGCCTCTGACCCCAGCAGAGTGCCCTCTTGGCAAGTCTAGTCCTGGAGGTGGTTGCCCGGCGTGGCGGGCTGGGGCAGAGGGCAGCTGCGCCTGGGCCGGCAGGGGCGGGCAGGGGGCGGGCGGCCGGCCCCCTGCCCCGGGGAGGGAGGCTGGGGGATTGAGTCAGGCCACGGAGCGTTCTCAGGCTGGCCCGGCCAGGGCCCCTTTCTCTCCATGAGATCATATCTGGGTCAAAGAGCATGTAAAGCAGGCAGACCCCAGCGGCCGCACAAAGCCCATTCAGCCCAGCCCCTATTCACTCACCTCCTCTCCCCCAGAGCCCGAGCACCGCGACCCCGGAGCAGCGCCTAAGCCCCAGCTTTGATGTCCAAGAACAGAAAACGGCGATTAAATGTTGTTTTAAAGAGGGAGTGCTCACTGCCCTCCCATCTGTCAAGAGAAAGCTGAGGCCTGGGGTGGGGAGGGGTGTGGGGGAGGGGCGGGGAGGCCAGCGGGGTGGGGGTGGGGTGGGGGGAGAGGCCTGGGGAATGAGCAGGGACCCAGAGAAGAAAAGGGTGGATGGATGGCTTGGAGGAATGGGGCGGAGGCCCAAAATCAAACCAAATATATTTCGGGCAAAGGCTTGTTTTCCAAGATGAGACATATGGGGAGAGGAAAAGAATGTGGGGCAGACACAAAGGCCAAAAGAAACCCCAAGAGAAATGAGAGAGAGAGAAGGGGAGAGGAGTGGAGAGATGGGAGAAAGACTGGGTGGGAGGAAAAGAGAGATGAGGTGAAGGAAAAATGACAGAGCAGAGAGGGCAGGAGAGAAGAAAGTGCAGAGGCACAGAGAAGCTGCCCCACAGAGGGACCGCGTCTCCCCTTCCTGGGAAGGTCATCTGTCCAAGGAGGTATGTGTAGCTCCAGGCAGTTTGCAACTCGCCACCTGAGGGTCACGCAGACGCCAGCCCAGGTCCCCAGAGCACAGGAGCTGGAAGGCCCCTCTTCCAAGTCAGCACCCAGGGCGGGCAGGGAGTCGGGCCTCCCTGCAGGCTGGTGCTGGGAGTTTACCAGCCACTGGGGTGGTTCCCAGGGACCCCTGGATGATGCTGGAGGCCAGGCCGGCCAGGGGGCCCTGGCGGTGGTTTTCACACCCCGGAGGGACGGCTGCAGCTCGCACTGCTGTGTTCCTAGACTTTGGTGAGGAGACGATGATTTTGATTATTCTGGTCAGAGCCGGGCAGGCAGGACGGCCTCGGGCAGAGGTGCTGAGCCAGGGCGTCTAGGACTGGGTGCAACTGGCTTGACTGAGACATTTACCAGCAGGACAGCGCTCCCCTCCCCAGCGAGAGGGAGACAGACAGACCTAGAGAAGCAGCCTCCGGGCCTGAGACAGGGCAGGGGCCGAGCAGCTGCGTTCTGCGGACATGCTTTATCCTGCGAGTGGGACCTTTCACTGGGTGGCAGCTCCTTGTTGAGAAATAGCTGGAGCTCGCTTAGCTGCGAGGAAGGAGGAGGAAATGTCTCTATAATGAAAAGCAGACGGGAGAGCCCTGCCTCCGGAGTCGGGCAAGAACGGACCTGATTTGGCGCTGGATGCTGTGCAATCCGGAGCGAGTTAATAAGCAGACACTTTCCAACTCAGTGGCTTAGAAGGTCGGCTCCTGACAGGCAGGGGTTTGTCTGCTCTGCTCTCACCGTGTTCCCAAGGCTTACCGCGCCAGTTACTGGCTGATGCTCACGCTGAAGGGGCAAGTGGACAAGTGCCTGTTTCATAAACACCGGATCAAACGCTATTGGTGTATTTAACGCTATTTTTAAACTGAAACGTATTAGCTAAATATGTCATGAAGTGGCTCTATGCCTCACACATATGGCCCAAAAAACATGTCACATCAATGAGGCTGAGGCGCAAGGCATTCGCTTCCCCAACCCCAGACAGAAATCTCAGTCCCTCCCCCCCCAGGAAAAGGCAGGGAGGACCACGCACTTTTGAAAAAGGGGGAACACTTCAAGCCAGAGACAACTGAATTAACTTTATTTTCTTCTAACTGCAGATTCAAGGTATACAACTGAACATTGCTATTTTTCTTATGAGACTTATAAATAAAAATACAAAAAATGTTCACTACAAAAAAATCTACTGTTAGTAGGATGTAAAAAATATTCTCTTTGCTATAGAAGGCACAAACTTCACTTAGTGACACATGGAGAGAGAAAAAAACCTGCAGCAGTAAATTCATTTTTTCCTTTTTTTTTCTTTTTAAATCTTGTCAGAAACACTGAAATTACAAAGAAACGCATCAATCTACACGAAACGAAGGCAGATGCGGAAAGCTGCAACCAGGACCGTACAAGTTGGGGTGAGCTGCTTCGGGGCTAGACAGACAGGGCTGGCAAGCACAGGGCGGGGTCGCAGGGCTGAGTGGGGACCAGAGGAAGGAGAGAGTAAGAGAGAAAATGGTACAAACAGAAGTGAGAGGGGAGAGAGGGGAAGAAGGATGGAGGGAGGGAAAAAGAAGGGGAGGGAGAGGGAGAGATCAAAAGAGAGAGAAAGAGAGAAAGAGAGAGAGATTGATTTGTACAAAAAGTAACCGGTAAAATTGAAGAAACAAAATTGGGCAACCTCCTAAAATTAGGCTAAGAGGAGGTGCTGAGGTAGACATGAACTAGAACATCAATTAATTAAAAACACTATTCTGTAATACAGAGCAATCGGACTGGCACTTGTGCTGTCACGACGTAAGACAAGCCACAAAAACAAACAAATAACAAAACGAAACAAAATACCCAAACCAAAAGGCTTAGTTTTGCTTGGTCCAGCAGGGCAGCAAAGCCCTCAGTGCTATAATTTACATACATATATATATATATTTATCTTTATATATATGGGTTGGATGTCATGGTGCACCACCACGGCGTCTTAACCTTACAAGGATCATGCATAACACTATGTGAACAACTCCTATGACACACGCCAGGAGGCTGGTACCCTGTCTGCTAAGTGGACCGCCAAGGTTTCAGGGAGGCGGGGGCTGCTGGCTGCCAGGTCTGCAGGGGGCCTGAACCCCGTCTCCCCAGCCCTTTCCCCCTGACCCAACTCCCCTGGTCTGTCTTGCGCTCCTTCTGGTGGGCTCTGCCTTTTTCCTCCACCCATCAGTCCCACCGTTCAGGCTTAGTCTGATTTTTGCCCCCCTGTCCCGAAATATGCAGGTAAATGCCGCCACGAAGCTCCAGGAAGGAGGAAACAAGGTGGGAGGCGGAAAAAGATCTAACATAAGCCCAGGAAAAATGAACAAACTAAGTCTGACCTTTTTCCCCTTTTCTGTCTCACATCCCATGCCCCCGGCTTTCACCCTTGTTGGGTCTGCAGGGAGCTGGCCACACATCTCCCCACCATCCTCATGGGCAGAGTCGGAAGCCCCCCACCCCAGCGCTGTTCACGCCCCTGTAAGGAGGGGAGGCAGCCAGCCCTCTCCCTCCAAGGCCTTGACTCCCCAGCAGCCAACTGTACCACTAGCATCCAGAGGGTACCATATACTTGTGAAAAAATCGCAGCAGTTTTTTTTTTCTCTTTTTCTTTTTCTAAACATGGAAAAACTGTTCAGGCACAAAGATTAAACAAGCCCGCGTTGCATCCCTGGATTGTACTGAATCACTGGGTCCCCCAGCCTCCCTCCCCACCCCCTCCACCCCCGATCACCCCTCCCCCACTCGAGGCCTCCTCCAAAGCAGCCCAAAGCAGCAATGATATTTGCTATTTTATATCTCTCTCTCTTGCTATATATATATCTCTCTATATATTTGTCTATCCTATATACACATAGGATTTTAATGCTTTGAATGAGTGAAGGAGTGAACAGGGGAAGAGCACATGAGTGAGGAGGAAATGTCACCAAAAGCATTAAGGGACACGCTTATTACAGGAGCCGAACGTAGGAAAGGGACAATTCATCAACTTGGACTTTCCAGGCTGGAGAAGCTCTCTGTGCTGGAGAAGGCAGGAGCAAGCAGGGTTGTCAGCAGTACCATGGCCCAGGGCGGCACGGTAGCCAAGGGGCCAGGTGGCAGCAAGGAGAGGGAAGTGACAACACTCCGGTCTCACCTAGGGAGAGAGCGGCCTCTGCCTGCCTTGTCTCCCCAGCCTTCTTTGTCCACACATCTAAAGCCTCCAGATCATTTCTGACCTTCATCTTGGCCATTAGGCCTGGCCACGAAGGCCTTGGGGAGGTCAGAATTCTTTTGTCTTTGTGAGTAGGAAGCTGGGAAAGAGGCATGTTGGAGTCTCTTCAGGGTGTCTGCGGTTTCACGGGAGAGGAGGGGAGAGCCAAGTTCAGAGGTCTCCCCAGCCAGCATCCTCCAGAAACCCCAGGCCCTGGTCCTCTCTCCCCACCTCCCGACCAGCATCCTTGTGGGATGGTGGGGGCAGGCAGGGGCTGACTGAGTACCATCCAACGCTGCAACACCAGATTACAATACGGCATGATGTAACACACAACCGCACACAAGCACACGCACACACAGGCACACACAAAGGGGTATTTTGGTGGTGGTGGTGGTGGTGGTGGTGAATTTCTTTTCTTTTTTTTTTTTGTCTTTTTTTGTCTCCTATTCACATTACAAAAGGAAGGGGCAAGGTCTGGTAGAAGTGATGAAGGACCTAACAAATATTACAAAAATATTACAATTTGTCAATATGAGCTCAACCCTCTCAGCTTTTATAAACAGGGGAGGAGACCCTGGCTGGGTGGGAGGGCGGGGGGGGTGCAGTGAGAGGTGCCAGCTAGGTCTGTGGAATAGTTGAATTTTTTTTTCCTTCCCCCCAAAGTTGAAAGACATCCTTCTGTTCAAATACTGTTTTCTGGGATTTACAGATCCCCTGAGGGCCAGCCAGTCCCCGCTTCTTCCCAGATCGGGGGAGGCAGCAATAGTGCATAAAGATTTCTTAAGACTGCCCTGTCCTCAGTGATTTCGCTCTTTTCACATTATAAACACGACCACTGCTCTAGTCACGGATTTCAAGTTTAACTTTTTGTTTTCCTTTCCAAAGCACTAAGTCATTATTCTAGTTGCAAAATAGTATCCCCTCTATGTTGTCCCCAGTCAACAGTCTAGCGACATAGTCCCCCCAATCCATTTCCCCCAACACACCGTTTTTAAGGCCTTCAGATTTGGTGGGCGAGATTGCAGGGGAGGGCAGGAGGGATGGGGCCGAGGGACGGGGGTGGTCACAGCAGCACCCATCCCTCCGACTTCCCTGTATTCCTCACAGCCCTTCTCCCCAAAAACCGCTTCCCAAAACCACTTTTTAAAACCTAAGATAAAAACGCAACCACAACTTTCTCAGAGAGAGAAAGGGAAGAAAAAAAAAAACAAAAACAAAACAACTCAACAAATAAAGCATGAGATGAAACGGAAGACCCGTCCCAAAGCGAACACAAATATTGCAAATGTGCTTTCCAAAAATTGAGGGAGGGGAGGTGGAGGAGGAGAGGGGAAGCAGAGCAGCAGGACGGGAGGCAGGAAGGGGACAAAAGAACAACTGGACAAACAGAAGAGGTAGCTTTTAGAAAAACAACACCCCTGCCCCATCGCAACAACACACAGGCCGGCTCGTCCCCAACCAGCCCTGAAAAGAGACCAGTTTTGGCAGTGATAATGCACACAGAGGTGGGGGCCCTGCAGTTGCAGGGATCTGAATAACACTGGCTGCCCCCCAAGACCTAGATGACCCAGCAGATTGTAAGAAAGGTAGGGTCTTCTCCAGAGGACACGGTGGCCGATGACGCCATGCCCTGGGCGGAGCCAGCAGTGACCTGGCCCTGCCCCCAGCACCCCATCCCCGCCACCCACCTCCTGCCCCGGCCTCACACTCACATCCTGAGTACTCAGCTCCTTCTGCGCTGCTCCTCCCAGCTGGGGGATGGGGAGGGCCTCGGCCAGCTGAAGTCTATTAAACCAGCTATTAATTTACACAAGAAACAGAAAAGGACACTCTCCCCATTCCTCCAACCCCCAACCAAAAAAAAGAGATACAGGGGTCAAAAAAGCTCATGAGGTCACAAAAAACTGAGGTAATTCAAGTACAATGTGCTAACAGGTGAACAGGGAACACAGAAAAGAAGCAAAACATAACACAAGGCAAAGCGCTTTCAACTCCTCTTCCTCCCCTCCTCCCTCTTCCCTCCCATCTTCCTCCCTGTGGACTGGGGGGCCCTTGAGCCAGAAATTCTCTGCCACCCTCTGGACCTGGGTTTCCCCACAGAGCTCACCAGGTCTGGGGTCCCCTGTGTTCAAAGGGTCCCCAGCATGACTCACCAACTCCCTTCCGGGGCAGGGGTCCCCCTCCTGGTGTAGGGCACCTCTGGAGGACATCCTCGTCCCTCCACGGGCAAGAAGCCCTTTAATGGACTCCCCCTCCTAGGGGCTGAAGGAGGGCTGCAGGGGTTTGTGGGTGTGTGTTTGGTGGGACAGTATGTATTTAGCTGTTGCATTTTTCCATTTTGGAAGCAAAGGCAGCTCAGCAGGAATCTCGCTCAGGACAGGGCTGGGCTGGGCTGGGCTGGGCTGTTCTATTTACGTCATTTGCATTCTCAGAAAGCTGAGGGTGCAGGTAGGGTCTCTGGAGTCAGACACGGCTTTCCCACTAGGGTGCGGGAGGAGGGGGGAGACAGCCCCATCCACGAGGGGCTGGGAGGTCTAAGTCAAGGGGAACCCTGGGGAGCCAGGAGCTGGGGGAGGGGGCGAGAGCACTGAGGCTCCTGAAGACCAGGAGGGGACACTCAGGTGTGGCCGAGCAGAGGAAAGCAACAGATGAACTGAGCAGGGGGAAGGGCGGGAGCGCCCCTCCCCACCCCATCCTGCCCCCAGCAAACTAGAGCTGCCGCTGTGACCCAGCCCGGCCCCACCAACTGCAGGCCCCCTTTCTGCATCGCCCCCACCCGTCCCGGTCCCTCAGCCCCCATCTTCCACGGAGTCGTGGAGAGGACGGCAGGCGGAGATGGTTTGGCTCTGACCAGAGGACCCCTCGTCCTCTTCCTAGTCTTCATTTCTGGACACAAAAGGAGGATCTGGGTGGAGGAAAGAGAAAAATGTCCCCCTAATCTGAGCTGAACAAAGCCACCTCCATCACCACCCAAGAAGAGCAGGCCAACCTCCAGCCAGGAAAGGAGGAACAGAGGCCGGTGGGGAAGGGGCTGGGCCAGGCATCGGGGTCACCTGGAGCCTCAGAGAGAATCCAGGGCCAGACAGCTCCCAGGTGTCCTATTCCTTCTCCCTTCTTTTTTTTTCTTTCTTTTTTTGTTTGTTTGTTTTTAGTTTTGTGTTGTGTTGTTTGCACAGTCCTCCTGGACCTCATCCTGCTCTAGCTCTCCTCGCTCCCCGCTCCCCCGCCGCAGCTGCGGGCCGGCCTCACACGTAGCACAGGTAGAGGTAAGTCTTCTCTATCCTCCAGTCGGGCGGGATCTCCTCGGGCTTGTGGCCCTTCATGTGCTTCTGCATGGAGGACAGGCTGGGGCAGTACTCCGTGCAGATGGTGCACTGGTAGGGCGAGGCGCCGTTGTGCGTTCGCAGGTGCTTGATCATGGCCGAGTAGTCCCGGGAGCGCTGGTGGCACAGCTTACACTCAAAGGGCTTCTCACCTGTGGGGGGAGGGCAGGAGAAGGCCAGGACAGAGCAGGCAGCTGTGAGGGGGGGACCACCACAGGGATGCTTTGCACCCTCCTCCCACCCCCGGGCTTCTGGTCCCTTGAGATCGGCACTTCCCATGGTGATGGACCATCTAGTATGGCAGCCAGGGGTCACACTGGACTCTGAAGGCCTGAAATGCAGCCGGTGGGATGGGGAACTACGTCCCCCGAAGTATAGTCGATTTACAATGTTGTATTAGTCTCTAGTGTACAGGAGAGTGATTCAGTTATACACATATATATTCTTTTTCATATCCTTTTTCATTATACGTTACTGTAAGATACTGAATGTAGTTCCCTGTATTCTACAGTATGACCCTGGTGTTTACCTATTTTATACGTAGTAGTTAGCGTCTGCTAATGCCAGCCTCCTAATTTATCCCTCCCCCTGCCTTCCCCTCCTGGTAACCACAAATTTGTTTTCTACGTCTGTGAGTCTCTTTCTGTTTTGTAAATAAGTTCATTTGTGTCATTTTTTTAAGATTCCACATATAAGTGATACCATATGGTATTTGTCTTTTTATTTCTGGCTTACTTTACGTAGTATGATAATCTCTAGGTCCATCCATATTGCTGCAAATGGCATTATTTCATTCTTTTCATGGCTGAGTAGTATTCCATATATATATATATATATATATATATATATACACACACATACACATACCACAACTTTTTTAACCACTCATCTGTCGATGGACATTTAGGTTGCTTCCACATCTTGGCTATTGTAAACAGTGCTGCTATGAACACTGGGGTGCAATCTTTTTGAATTAAGACTTTCCTCCAGATATATGTCCAGGAGTAGGACTGCTAGATCATATAGTAAGTCTATTTTTCATTTTTTGAGGAACCTCCATACTGTTTTCCATAGTGGCTGCACCAAATTACATTCCCCCCAGCAATGTATGAGGGGGGAACTACATTTCTAACCTTGTGCACTGTAACTAACATAAACAGCCACACAAAGGTAGGGGCCACGGTGTTGTTCAGCACAGCTCCAGTCCCTGGCCTTACTGTTAACTCTCTCAAGGGCACAGATTCTCCCCTTCCTCCAAAAGGAAACGAGGTCTAGAAAAGGGGTAGTGAGGCCTCTGAAGTCCTTAGGGATGGCTGTTCAGCACACAGTTCCTTCTAGCAGGGCAAGGAGATGGAGTCCTTTCAGGGCTACAGATGGTAGGGAGCAGGGGTGGGGTGAAACATCCTGCAAACTTGCTCCATCTGGGGATGGCTATTCCTCCAAGGCTGTGGTCCCCGCCTTCCCCTTTGGATCTGGAATGGGGGTGGGATAGAGAACTGGGGAGTGCATGGCCACACCCTAGCTGTGACCAGCCCACCTGCCCCGCTGTTACAAGTCCCCTGGAGCTGAGCAGAGGATGTGAGGGAAACTTGTTTCAATACAGTAATTAACTGGCCAGCCATCTCGCTATCGATACACCTCCGTGCAGAGGCCTCTGCAAATAATGAAGTAATGAACAGCCAAAGTGATCTAACTATTGACCGGCTATTTACAATAGTCAGTGCCAACACATCTAATGATCCGCCCGCCAGGTCACATCTCTGATGAGGGGGCTAAGGAAGCCCCAGGGTTCTGGGAAATCCTGGGGGGGTCACTCTAGTTGTCAGCACTGAGCACCCCATCCTCTCCTTGTGGCCCAGCTGGAAGCAAGAAAGCAGAGCCACGATGACACGTCTCCCCTGCTTACTGCTCCCTCTGTCCCCCTCCCCTCCCAGGGAAACACATGCTCCCCTGGGCCAGCAGGACCTGCCTGATCACCTCTCCCTCTTCCTCTGGTCAGGCAGCTGTTTCCCCTAATCAGGGGACGCTTCCTGGTTTGCCACGTTCCACTAGCTTCCACTACCTCTTATCCTCAGGGGAAGTCCCTCTGAGTATACACCCCCGAGCCAGCAGTGTCTGGTGGCGAGAGTTAACAACTGACTCTCCAAAAAGCCCTGATTTTGAAGCATTTGCCAGTGGCCATGTTGCGCGTACCACCCACCCTGGTCAATTTTAAGCAACCAAGGTGATGACACTGAACACAGAGCTGGAGAGCGATGTGCACAAAGGCTCTCGCAGGCAGGCTGGAGCCGGCTCCAGCATCCCACTGCCCCCAGCTCTGGCAATTCTGGACTCTGGGACCACTTCCACCTGTTCTGTCCTCAGGCTCCAGGGAAACAGCTGCTGAGTTCTTTTATGTAAAAAGGAATTTGAAGGCCCTTTGAAATGGGAAATCATTATACTCATAGAGGAGTAAACATCTGCTTTTCTAAGCTTTGAACCAAACTCAGTCTAATTTACAGTTTTTCCCAACCCTCATCATAACCTAAGTCAGTGTCCCATAGTTCTTACTCTCACCCTCAAGTCACATGGAATCATCCTAACCTTCACTTTCAGCAGACCAGGCCAACTTAACCGTAACTCGGGATTCCCGAATGGACATCGTCTGTGAGCTCTCGGTATGGCTGCCTGGAAGGCGGGTCTGGGCTCGTGGAAAGGGTGCTGTGATTGATTAGTAATATCTGTCCTGCCCTTGCTGGGGAGGTAGTGGCTCACAGGTTGCTGTATGAACCCTTAGGGAGGCTGTTCCACTCTTTGGTTCAGCCTGGGACCACCCTCACCTGGGCTTCTCTGGGGAGCCATCTGCCCCCTCCACACACACACCCCCGCCCAGGTCCCAGGGCCAGGGCGTTTGTCCCCAGTACCTGTGTGCACTCTATAGTGTGTCTCCAGCTGGTGCTTGAGGCTGAACTTCTTGCCGCAGCCATTGCACTCGTAGGGTTTCTCGCCCGTGTGGATGCGCTTGTGGCTCTTGAGCGTGCTCTCATCCCGGAAGCAGCTGCCACAGAACTCACATTCGTACGGGTGGTCGCCTGTGCGGACAAGCGGCTGGATCAGGCCCTTGCCTCCACCAGCCCCCTCTTTAGGGGACAGCAGAGCACGTTCAGTGCACCAGGAGGATCAGGCTGCCGGTACTCACCACCTCCAGAGACGACCTGAGCATCCCCCACCCCTGCTGGCCTCTTAGCATCTACAAGGGGCACACCTGTGCACACGCGTCCACACTGTACCATGGCCCAGCCATTCCAGCCTGACTCCCCTACTCTCAAAAAAAAATCTCTCCAATGTTCTCATTGTCCCCCAAATGCCTTCTTCTCTTTCCCTCTCCACAGTCTCATGCAGCCATTCTTTCTGCATGATTTCCTCTTCTCTCCTTGGCGAACTCCTAGTCATCCGTTAAGGCCTAACTCACAAGTCACCAACATTTAGAAGTTTCCCTTTAGCTCCTCCCCAACTCTGCCTCTCCCCGAAGCCCACGCAAACTGAGTCACTTTCTCCTTCATTCCCAGAGAGAAAGAATATCTAGCATTGTGTCCTTTGAGCAGTCATATCAATACAATTTTTATGGCACTTTCTAATTAAAATGGCCCACATCTGTTGAGTACACACTACTGTGCTAAGAACTTCACACAGATTAGATCACATAATTGTGGCAACAATCTTACAAGAAAGACAGTATCATTCTTATTTTACAGATGAGAAAAATGAGATGTTTAGAGATGCTGAAACATGGTCTCTGAGGCCAAAGAGCTAGTAAGAAGCTGAGTCGGGATTCAGATCTGGTTCCAGAGTCTGGACACTGGATACTTACAGGCTCACTGACATACTGTACTGTATCTGCTGTCACGCCCAACGTGCTTCTAGAATGGAAACACCACGAGGGCAAGAAGAGAGCCGTGTTCACCCTTGGAGCCTCAGCACATGGTGCAGGGATGACCCTGAGCAGATGCTGGGGAAATGTCAGTATCCGAAACTTGGGGATAACTGCCTTCTCCTGGCCTGGAACCTATGCCCAAGAGCCTCCTTTCTGTGTAGCCCACTCTGACGTCCCCCAGAGGGTGAGAGGCTGGGATGTGGGGAGTAACCATTTCCCCCTCTGTACCCAAAGTGGGGGCTTTGGGAGAAGAAAGGTGAGGCCTTCAGCTACTTATTTATTACAGGAGTGAAGGCACAGACAATAAAGATAGATTGATCACCCCAGACTTTGTTCATGAATATTTAAATATAGCTGATTCGTCTTGTCACTGTAATTACAATTTCTCTGGGCGGCATCTCCAGCAACCACAGTTTATGGTAAAGAATGGCCCACTGTATTTCACTTGTCCCTCTGCAGATGTGCGGGGCTGCCAACCGTGTAATGTCCTCTGCATTTCATACATTTTCTTCAGCTGCTGAAGGTTTAAGTCATCCACAATGACCTACGTTTTTTCATTATCCCCATGTCAAACTGCGCTCGTGCCTCGGCATAAATTGTCCTTCTCGTTATAGACTCGCAGGCCTGCGCCTTCACTTCCTCTTTCAAATGGTATTTTACACTCTTCTCTCTCTCCCCTCCTCAGGAGGCTAACCACATCTCCCCCTTCTCGAATGTAGGCCCCTGGACCCACATAAATTCTCATCTCTTCCGACGGGCTCTGAAGGGTTTTTAAGGCTTGGTGGGGAGAGGATGCTGGGGTCTGCTCGCTGGTGGGCTCTCTCATGGATGGAAGATTTGCAGGGCGCTCCGAGGGCATAGAGGGGTGGGTGGGAGCACTTCCATCAAGGATTTGGACGGGAGAGGCTCGAAGAGCACAGCCGGCCCTTGACACCAGTTCTCACCAATCCACGGGGCGCTGCCCTGGGCTCGGGGGCGAGCCCCGCGACGTGCAGATCTGGGGATGAACGGAGTCCCGAATCTTCAGCATCTGCCCGTCCTCTTGCTCCCAGGGTGGTGCACACTGCCTGGTCCCCAGCCGCCAGCCCCATCCAACCCAAGGGGAGGAGAGGCCGGTGCAGATCCTGGTCCTAACTCATCGTGTGTCTAACAGAGTGAGCGTCAGTGCTGCCCAGGGCCCGCCCGCCACTCCCTCTGTGTAACGTCTGCACATCCAGCCCCGTCTGACATCCAGCTCCCCCTCCCTTTTGAATCGGCAACGATTACGACTTTAATCAAGGATTCAGTATCCTCATTAAGATATAAATAAATAAATAAAGCAAGGGCCACGAGAGACTTCAGCCGGAGCCAGTAATTAAAACGTACATCGGCAGCCGCTCGGCCGGGGAAGGGATCCGCCGTCTGTGTCCTTCCCCTTGTGGTGGTGGGGGGGGGTGGCGGCGGCTAAGAGTTTAAAAAACAAAGGGTTAAGGCAGAGGTTGGTTTGATCAGATTTTTATGAATTTAATTACGAAGTGGATCACATGTTAAATGAGTTTAAATAGGAAATCTCTAGAGTCAGGGAAAGGAGTAAAAAGAACTTAGGAAAGAGAAGACACTAGTGTGCGTGCGCACACACACAGACACACACAGACACACACACACACACACACACACACGCTTGAAGTTTGAAGCATGGCAAGCCCCTGGACTAAAATCCTCACCCGGAGAGTTAATCGTGTCCGTGTGGCCATAATGTACACAAAACTGGCTGCAGAACTCAAAATCCAATTTGTGGCATGTTGATTAACTCTGCAGCCTCTTTAATGAGCTTGACATTAAGTGCAGGACAAACGAGACTAATTAGAGCCCCCTCCGGCCTGCCCAGCGCACCTGTGACCCCAGCGGCCTGTCCTCACCTGGTGGTTTTCCTGGCACTGGCTGGGCCCAAGTGTGGTCCTCTCCATCCCGGCCCCATCCCTTCGGCTCCTCAGCCCCCCGCCCCTTCAACACAGCTGAGAGTTTATTATATGATGAGCTGTGTGAATCAGGGATCCATCACTGCCAAGAGCGCGGCTGGACTAACCTACCAAACACAGCTGCCGATGCTAAACACCCGGCCCCAGCAGCAAATGGGCCAAGAACAACGGAATATCAATGAGGCATTGTGTGCGGATGTGCTCGGCCGGTGGCGGGCTGTGTGCACACGGCCTCGCTGGTGCGAAACCGGTGGGTGTGGACGTGTGGGTGCACGGGCAGCGCCCATGCTCCATGCTTCCTAGATAACGCAAGAACTGCTCCCAAACGATGTCTGGAAAGAGTCCCTCCCCATGGATCTGAGCCACGACTGACACAGGGACGAGTGACATTTTAATAGCGAGCGCTCAGAAGCTGGCGTGGGCAAGGCAGGGCGTATCCCTGGTGGACTTCTCAGGACTAGGATCATTCAAGTCGCATGAGACTGAATGGTGGGACCCCAGCAGCATGGTCAGAAGTGGCTGAAAGGCAACTGGCCATCTTTGATAAGGCTCAGCTTGGGGACCCAGTGGGGAGGTGTTGACCGGAAGGTGCATACACCTGCAGGAGATGCTTATGCCATCACCACAGAGAAAGTCCTTGTCAGCATCTCTTCTTCATGAGCACTTCTTATCCGGCCTCACCCTCTGGGACCTCCCCTTGTCCTATGGCAGCAAATCTAAAAAGTTCTAAGCAAATCTGGTGATGCTAGGGGGTCAGAGGCTGCCGCAAGGAAGCAAGTGCCTCTTGGCCCTCAGGACCAAGTGCCCCATCCCCCAAACCTAGAAGGTGGTGGCAAGGACTAGCCATGCCTGGCACCTGGCTCAGACCCCTCGGCTCACAACTGCTCTCCTCCGCCATCATCTGGAAGTGGCTAAGCAGGGCTGTATCCTGGCTCACTGTTTATACACCCTCATTGTCTGCCCTAAACAGGAGTAAGGCCTGAGTATACAAAACGTGATTCTGTTACTGCGGGGCAAGTGACACCACTCCTGCAACATTCCCTTAAGATCCCGAGGCTGCCCCCAGGAGCGTGTGTGGGTGGAATGGGGCCAGTGAGAGTGCGAGGGGGCGTGGCAGACAGAGACCAAGCAGGTGGGTTTTTCTCACAATGCATTTTGGGTCCACCTGTAGCAGAATCCTTTGGGACTATTTACTAATAATGTTGAGTCCTGGCCCCTGTGCCCACTGAATCGAGGTTTCTGAGAGTGGGACCCAGGAACCTGCATTTCTAATGAGGGCCTTCTCTGTTGAGCACGGAGAGACTGAGAACCAAAAGTCCCCAAGACGGGAAGGAATAAGAACTATCCACATTGATCTGCACCTCGGAGGCCCCCACATGCCTGACACTTGAGCAGAGAAGGGCTGAGGGCCCACTCAACCGGGCACCCCGCTGGATGTGTCTGGAGATAAATCCGGACAGCGGTTCCCAGAGACCCTGGCCGACCCGCCCGGCCCTGCCTGGCCTACCTGTGTGTGAGCGCAGGTGGCGTTTGAGGGCGGTGTGGCTGGGGAAGGTGCGGTTGCACTCGCTGCAGATGTAGCTGCGCACGCCCGCGTGGACCTCCATGTGCTGCTGGAGCGCGCTCTGCGCCTGGAAGCGCTTCCCGCACAGCAGACAGAAGACGGCCATGTCCGTGCCTGCGGGGGACAGGAGCGGGAGAGCCTCAGCAGGTGCACACACAGGCCGTTCTTCACCCAGCCGGGCTGGAGCAAGGAGCCAGCGTCTGGACAGCGCCCCCACCCCAGGCCCCATGCTCTGCGGCAAACCCAGAAGTGGTGCAGGCCATGCAGTGTTGATGGAGCGCCCCGTACGTGGCTCCAGTGGTGGAAGAAAGAACTTTCTTTCTGCCTTCATGGAACCCGAAGTCTGGTGGGAGAAAGACAGGCATTAATTAAACATATCGCGGCAGCAGCCAATGAGTCTGCAGTCGTATGGAGTGCTATGGGGAGGGCAGGGTACCCAGCAAGCATCTCTCAGAGGGACTTTCAGGGCCTGGGCCAGGCGGACGGGAGTCAGGGTGCCTCTGCGAGAAATCACGATGATGAAGGTGACACGTGCCCCCCACGATTTAAATGTAACTAACTCAAAATCACGTCTCCAAAAGGCGGGTTCTACACCCTCACCCTTCAGGGCAAGGGAAAGGAGGCACAGAGAGCTTGAGGAACTTGTCCAAAGGAGCACAGGGTTTACAAGGCAGCCTGGAGTTGCTCCTCTCCCGATGCTGGCCACAGTCCCAATTCTCTTAACCACACCTTCATTCATTAAATGCATGTGTACATCTTAAGGTTGCCTGTCCTCATCATAGATGGTCCCCAGTTCCCTGGGCCATCGGGAGAGCATTCCAGGAAGATGGAACAGTGTCTGTGAGCTGGAGAGAAACATGCTGGATCGGAGGACCAGACAGAATAGCGCAGCTGGGGAGGCAGAGAGAAAGTTGAGGGGGGATGCCAAAGAAGTGGGCAGAGCCGGCTTGCACGGGGTCTTGAAAACCTTCTAAGAGCTTAGGCTTCATCACAAGACCAATGAGCAACTGCGTAGGGATTTTTAAGCTAATGAGGCACATGAGATTTTCATTTAACTCTGTCCTGTCGTTCCCTGGGCTGCTGAGAAGCAAAGTAGGTACCCCATGGTGCTCCACAAGGACAGGCTGCCATTTTCTGTCTGTTATCAACCCCCTTTCCAATGATGCTTTGGAGCAAGATGGCTTTCTGGGGTTCAGCACCATGTGAGGAAGCGTCTAAACCCACCATCTGAGTCCTAACTGGGAGCTCTTTGCCCACCTTGGATTCCATTTTCCTAAGAACGTCAGCTCCCCCCGGGAAGTCCAGCTGCTCACCTCTCTTTGCTGGCACCTGAGCACCATCACCTGCGCTCAGCCCAGCGCTGCCTCCTCCCCATCCCCGCCCCCCAACACTGTAAGAGACACAAGCGGGAAAGAGGGTCAGGTCCAGCCCCTGTCAGCCCAGAGCAGAAGGTGGGGCAGAGCTTTGGCTGCAGCAAGTTGTGGGCTGCTCGGTGTGGAATCGGGGAGCTCCTGGTGAAACGGGGAAGAGCTTGCTACTCCCAGGTCCATCAGCAGAAACAGCAGATGGGAGGCCTGTTCTCGCTGCCTCCGTCCCATTCATGACGGGGTTTGCAATGGGAAGGCAAGGAAAGCCTCTCATCCCCACCAAGCCCCCACCCCTCACAGCACCTGCACCCATGCTCCATCCCACTGCCTGCACCCAGGTCTCAGGAAGGCTGAGCAGGGGACTGAGTACAAGCAAGGGAGGAATTTGCTCCTGGCCTCAAAGAGCAGGAGAGAAGGGGAACTAACACAGACCTTGTGCCAGGTCCTTTATCTATGTTGTCATCTCATTTAAAACTTGCAACCCTACAAGGCAGGATTTTCATGCCCCTTTTTACAAATGGGAAAACAGAGTGATTAAATAGCTTGCCTAAGGTCACACAGTTAGAAAGAGGCAGGACTGGGTGGGATTTATAAATGTCCGAGTCTGTCCGATTTCAGAAACCGCAGGGCTGGGCTCATGTCTCTGTCTGCACCTGTTACCTGTCTATCTGGGCTTCTCCTGGAAGAGGCACAGTAAGGACATGGCTGGGTCGGGAGCCCCAGCGCATCCGGGGCCCACGCTAGCAACAGGGAGAGAGCCCGGGCCAGGAGGAACACACTGGAGGCCGGATCACAAGGCAGAGCTCTCTGAAGCTTTCCAGCAAGCTCTCTGCGAGGTACTGGGGCGCTCGCTCCACTTGATGGCGGGGGCACACTGAGCAGAGTGGTCTGCCCAGCAGAAGCAGGCTGAGGGCCGACAGTGCGTCCTAAAAGCCCAGTCTGGCCCGGCCAGCAGGCCCAGGAGAGCCCGTCTGTCACGTGTTCTGTGCCACAGCACCTCTGCCCACTTCATCACGAGGGCCCCCAGCACCGACCCCCTCCCTGGCCCTGACCTTGCCCCACAGAGAGCCTCAATGAAGCCAGACATCAAACATCTGCCTTTTATCTGTAAGATGGAGCCGGCATCCTGGGCCAGCCATGCCCTTTAAGTGCCCAGGTTTCTCCTTCTGCATTCCTGAAATCCTCAGTGTGGAAGGATCCTGGGTCAGAGAAGCATGAAGGACCTTCCCAGCAGGACACCCCGAGCCTGAACAGCCAGGCCAAGAGAAGCTCTGAGGGCCAGTCCCACCACAGGGCAGAGCCTCACCCCATCCCCTCCATCCCGTGGTCCTCCTAGGGCCCCAAAGCTGCCCCGCTATGCGGTCCCTTTTTCTCAGGATGGCCTGAACCCACTTCGTGTCCATTCAGCCGACTCAGCGAACATCACCTAGTGTAGGCACTGGGCCAGGTGATGAAAGGGATGCTGGGATCACCCGGAGGAGCAGGGTCCCAGATCAGTGGGGGACACAGACAAGCCAACAACCAGCCAGAGGGTAACGCAGGCTGATGGACGCCAAGAGGGCTTTGGAGATTTTGAGCTCAGCTTTCAGAAACGAAGAGTGCTGAGAAGCTGAGGACCAGAGAAAGGAGGCAGGCTAAGGAAACACCGCAAGCAAATTTCCGAGCAGGCAGGGACAGAGGAAAGACCCGGAGGGTGAAGATGAGCCAGGGAGGTTACTGGGGGTCAGAGCACAGAGGGCCATATCGCCAGGTGGGACAGGTTAGATTTCATTCTGCAGGCAACGCGGTGCCATGAAAAGATGGGGGGAGGATGCCAGCGCGATATAACCCATACGTGAGGGCAGTGACCCTGGAGGCAGCGTGGGGACCAACAGCAGTGGCAAGTGGCATCTCTTCCCTGGAAGCAGGGAGAGAGATTATGGCTTTTCTGTTACCATTGGAGGAGGGTGGGACCAGACTACGGGCTGCAAGAAGAGGAGGGGGGACTGGAGAAGTAGAATCCTGGGCAGTGGCAGTCCCTCGGCCTGGGCTCAAGTCGGGAAGCATGGTGCATCTGAAGTCTGGGATGCCAGCTCTACACTGTGGTGATAGGTTTAAAGTTATGCAGTCACCACCTGGAAAGGAAATGCTATAGGGTTCCTACAGTGGTCCCTCTCCCCTTCCTGGGACATCCCACAAGGTGCATGGGTTCTTCCTAGCCACCGATCCACTGCCCGAGGCTCAGAGATGAAGAGATGGGGGCTCTGAGGCCCCACATCCACTCTCTCCATCTTTCTGTTTAGAGGTAACAACTGAGAGGATGGAAAAATATTTTAAAAGAAAAAAGGAAAGGGCGGGGGGTAGGGGGAAAGGAGTGGATGAGACACCAGAAAAGCTACTGGTGTATGCAAGTTAAAAATCTAGACTAGATTTGAGTTATTAAACAATTTGCCGTAGTTTCTGCCTAGCTGATTGCTCGCATGTATGATGAGTCAGGGCAGACTCTATTACCCTGGGAGATTAAGCAAATAAATGCTAGCTTTTGGAAACACATTAAAATGTGGGACTATGGAAATAAAATTATCTAGAAAATTGTATTAGCAATTCATTAGCTACAGTGAGATGTGCAGCGGGGCCAGGCACCCCCACCCAGCCCCGGCAGCGTTAGCACTCTGTTCCCTCCAACACCCGAGCCCCTGAGATGCTCACTGCCTCTTCCTCTGCTGGGGGGACCTCGTGCCTGATGCCGCCGGGGAGACGGAAGGAGACTTCACGGGTTGCAAAAGACCTTCAGAAATCAAATGGTCAGCACAACACGAGGGAGGCAAAAGCAGCACATGGGTCCCGGCTCTGCCCCTCACTTGCCTGTGACCCAGAGCAAGTGTCTGAACTTCTCTGGACCAGAGTTTGCTCATTTTTTGCCAGATTGCTTGCAGCCATTGGGAGCATCCAGCGAGACACCTGAGTGAAAAAGCTTTTTAACTCTGAAGTGGCTGCAGAGCCAGCGCCAGCCCAGACGATACCTCTGTCTGAATTAGAAAACCATGCCTCTTCCTCTGGGCAGACACAGATCCTCGCCTGGGCACACAGCTCTGGCAAGTAAAGAGGGCTGGACTCCAGCCTCCATGTCTCCTCCCGTAGTGAACAACCTGGATACAGATCACGGCCACCCTGCACGATACACAAGCCTAAGTTGTTCTATCGACTCTGGGCTGCTTCTTCCAGGGAGCTGACCCACGAGAAGGCTTCTGGGATGAGTGCCACCATTTAGGACTCAGTGCCAAGAACACCTTCCTTCTCTGAGCCCTCATGATTCCAGCTTCATTATTAAAACCTTCGTTGCACATTCTTCTGACATTCAGCCACGCCTGCTAGATGGTAAGCCCTCCAAAGCAGGGGCTGCTTTCTTCATCGTTATGCCCCCAACATAGAGCACAGGGCCTGGCATACAGGAGGCACTTGATAACTGCATGTTGTATTATGGAATAAATCAGAAGCTGTGGGACAATCCCAAAGGGCAGAGGGGGCCACCGGGCAGGGAAAGTCAGGTTCAGAGAGATGGACAGCTAGAGCTGGGGAGAGCCCAGACCACAGGCCACCGTTACTGAGGGCTGGTCCACAGAGAGCTGGTCTCTTTGGGGCCTCTCACGTCTGTCTGGTGGGTTCAACAGGACTCCCCAGGTTCTGACTCCATGTCTGAGTTCTGTTGCTCTGAAGCGAAGACCTAGCCCACAGACGAACCAGTTGTACCACAGCACGCAGTGATAC